TGAACACTGAGAAAAATTGTAGCATAGCATGAGAGAAACCAGGGCAATGTATTTGCTGACCCTACCTTAAAAGTTTGCTACTGTGATCCCCGTCCTTTTCGGAGATCACATTAATATTCCTTTGTTTTTCAGCAGTAGGTTCATCATAACTTAGTGAGAATGTTACTACTGCAAGTTTTTTTTGTTGCTTCAGTAGTTTGGTCTTGTAAGTTCCTTTCCTCACCTTAGGTTTCTACATGCAGGCATGCTACTGAGAAATAACTAGAGAGCCTCCCTGTTAATTCAATGTCATATTAAATAATGTCTGTTTCCTTTCTCTGTAGATGGAGAGGCCCAAGTACTGGTACAATCTCAACTATCCCTCACCAGGGTAGAAGATAAAACTGCACGAATTGACTGTCGTGTTTCTGGCATAACCTTCAGCAGTGCTTACATACATTGGTATCGACAGAAACGTGATGCAGCTCCAGAACGGATTCTCTATTTATCATCAGGAAAGCCTGTCTTTGACCAGGATTATGAGAAGGCAAAGTATGAAGCAGAAAAGCAGCTCTCAGAGTCAAACTGTGTCCTAACAGTAAAGAAAATAACCAAGAGTGATGCAGCTATCTATTACTGTGCCGTTTGGGACCACACAGTATTAGAAAAATCTTCACATTCTGTACAAAAACCTATTTGGTGTTCTCAAGAATAGTCTTTCAAAACATATATGAAACCACAGATAGCTCCCTATCTCTCACCATATGCACAAACGCCTTACTGGAATCTGCAACAAGCAATTAAAAACAACTCTTGCTCACACAAGTTTTGCAAACGGAAAGAGCCCAGCTGTCTGCAACAAGACTGAAGCACAAACGCCTTATTGGAATCTGTAACAAGCAATTAAAAGCAACTCTTCTCACACATGTTTTGCAAGCAGAAAGAGCACAGCTGTCTTTGCAACAATAAGACTGCGTAGTTGCATTGGACAGCTACACAATCAGGGGAGCAAAACTTTCATTTGATCTCTGAATGACTTAAGTCTGATACAAATGCACATTTACCTGTTTGCCGAAGAGAGCAGAATATTTAGAGCTGACATTAAAACTGAATTATGTAAAGTTTGGATATTCCTTGACACAGAAAGGATAGGAAAGTCAATCTGGAGCATTCCATCCAATATGCTATTCTAAGAAGAAGAAAATCTCCTGCTGACTGATAGTATGAGATTTCGCTACTCTGTCCTTATCTAGTCCACAAACTCATTTTAATACTGCCTATATATTCTAGTAGCCTTATGTTCAATTAGTTACATGCACAGGAAACTAAACTAGCAATGCTACAACGTATTTTGACATTAGTAGAGAAGAGATTAAAGCTATTTAACAACATAAGAATGGTCATACTGGGTCAGACCAAAGGTCCATCTGAACCAGTATCCTGTTTTCCGACAGTAGCCAATCCCAGATGCACCAAAGGGAATGAACAGAACAGACAATAAAGTCATCCATCCTCTCTTGTCACCCATTTCCCGCTTCTGACAGGCTAGGGACACCATTCCTACCATTCTGGCTAACCTACATGAATTCAGTTAGTTCTTCTTTAAACTCTGTTAAAGTCCTGGTCTTCACAACATCCTCTGACAAGGAGTTCCACATGTTGACTGTGCACTGCATGAAGAAAAAGCTTCCTTTTGTTTCTTTTAAACCTATCACTGTATCTATTAATTTCAGTTGGTGACCTCTGTACATTTGACCTGTGAAAGGTCTGTTAGCCCAGCAGATCCCTGCTCATAAAACCACAAAGTTCAGTTCTAAAGAACTGTTTCATATTTAATCTGCAATACTAATTAGATGACATGAAATATTAATTTTATTGTATAGAATATAGTATACTATAGGTTGGTGGGGCATGTCAACAACTAAAATTTGCAGAAAACTGCATTTGTTTTAAGTTTTACAGCACTTTATTTTTGTACTTTTTACTCCCAAAAATTTCATCACCCGCCCAGCTACGATTAAGTTGTTTAAACAAATGTGTTTCAATGGCAGAACAAAAATTGTGTGTGTGTATAGGTAGGTACTGGGGGTACTTTTTTTGTTTTGTTTTAAGGGTACTTTCTCAATTTTTTTTTATATATATATATAAACAAACACTGGTCTACATCATTTTACAATACCTCTTCTTCAGCCAGTGTGACTTAATTGCAGGTTACCTAAATGAGTCACTTCCTTTCCCCACCCATACTTCTCTCTCCCCATTAAAGGCCATCATTTACATTCCTTGGCTAGAGTTCTAACAAGAGCAGCAAGAATGTTGCTGTTAAAGGCTTTTCTTCTAGCCATGGTTTGCTCTTGTAAGTTTTTTACGCAACTTCACATACATTGGCACAGGACAGCTGCAGCAACTGGAGAGTCTTCACATTATTTCAGGTTGATGTAGATCTTTTTAATTTGTTTCTCCACAGGTGGCTTCTCACAAGTTAATCTGACCCAGCCTCAACTGTCCATCACCAGGGAAGAAAGTAAAACCATACGAATTGACTGCCGTGTTACTGTCCCAGAAGATTTTGGCCAGGCTTATATCCACTGGTACAGACAGAGATCGGGTGCAGCTCCGGAGCGGATTCTGTACATCTCAACGCAGACTGTCTTTGACAGAGACTCAGACAAGGGAAAGTTTAATGCTGAAAAGAAGAAGATCGGCCAGCCTACCTGTACCCTGATCATATACAAAACATCCCTCAATGACACTGCTACATATTATTGTGCCTACTGGGATCGCACAGTGTTACAGAACAGTACGCCACCTGTACAAAAACCCACTCTGCCATTCAAACCACAGGTTTTCCAGTGTATGAGGCACTTTCATTGCTCTCCCATCATGTCTTAGCCTGGAGCCAGCTGCAGAAAATCTTCATTGTCTTTGGCAACTGGATAGGAACAGCAATGGCTGATTTTGTGTGTATTTTCCAAACACTCGCTAAAGACAGATCAGTTCTAGCAGAACAGGAGCTCAGTTAGGACACAAAGGGGGAGGCAGGTATCCAATCCCATTACAAATCTATGGGAGTTGTGTATTTTGCTTCCCCTTGACCTTTAAAAATATCTTCCCCTAGAGTGTTAGGTGAAGCTACCAGTCAGTAATTCAATGGGTGGGTTAATATGGGCTGACTGGGTAGAGGTTTGACATCAGCAGAGGAGCATAAGACTTGGAGATTCCTTTTTTGGATCCAGAATTTTCACCCCAAGTCCAGACATTCATCCAACAAAACAGGGAGTAAGAAACTAGTAGCACTGGACCTGGAGTGTAGGTACCATGATATATCTTCCCCTCTAGCTACCTAGTAACGGGGAATCATCCTGCACAGTATTCTCCTCAGATACAGAAGTTCATGTTAGGGTCTATAGATTCCACTTAGGGCTTGACCAATACCCACCGAGGTACACGAGTGCCTTTCCATTGACTTCAGTGGCTTTGGATAAGACCATGAATCTTCTAATGGCATGGCAAACCAGCCTAGCAACTTAATGCCACTTTTTGATGTTACCCCAATGGAAAGAGAAGAGGTGTAAAACTGCTGTTTTATTAGCCCCTGAACAACAATAACCTCTTTGTAAATGTTATAAAAACCAGCGAGTTCTGTTCTGAAGGGCCAGCCTATATTGAGTCTCTGATGCCAGCTGAGCAGAAATACTTAGTAGGAAAGCAGACTAGATGCCCCTTGAGCAGACAGGGTATGTCTACATTGATGGAGGCATATAGATGAATTTACTAGACATAGGAAAATGAAGCGGGGCAGTCTGGACGTGCCACAGTTGACAAGGGAAGCCTGTGTCGACCGCTCCGGTATAATACTCCCAAATCTTCCCTTCTTTCGATCTGTGATTATGTGCTTTTTACCACCTGGTCTGATGGAACCTGACTCCATTTAGATTATAAAATCACTGGGCCAGGTTTTGATCTCCCGTGGTGATGTTCCTTGAACATTCATGTTAAAATTGGAATTATATAATATGGGTATGCCTAGACTACATGGCTCCGTTAACGGAGCCATGTAGTCTAGGCATACCCATATTATATAATTCCAATTTTAACATGAATGTTCAAGGAACATCACCACGGGAGATCAAAACCTGGCCCAGTGATTTTATAATCTAAATGGAGTCAGGTTCCATCAGACCAGGTGGTAAAAAGCACATAATCACAGATCGAAAGAAGGGAAGATTTGGGAGTATGGCTTATTGAATGAAACTAGAATGACAAACTAATAGAGCTACAGTATTAAAAAAAAGATAAAGGAGTAGATTGACTCTCATTGAAAGAGAAAGTAGTATTTAACAAGGGGGAAAAAGGTTATTTGCAAATTAACTGAACAAAAACATCTTCATGTAGAATTCACCCTTTCAGAACTAGAATAAAACTGACTGCAAATATTCTAGAGCAGAGCCATCCAAGATCAGCAGAGGGCATTACAGACAGATAAATGAGGCACTTCACAAAACTCAATACATATGCGTGAGAAATGATCTCACTAAAGCAAAAGTGATATTCCACTATTTAACCTCATAAAAACCCAGCAAGAGCCTGATCCTGGAAGGGGATTAATATCTTCTGAAGGGTTCTAAGTATTCTGCTGGCAACAGGGTGACCAGATGTCCCCATTTATAGGGTCTATCTTGATAATCAGCCTTTACCTGCTATAGTCCACTCTTACTCCCCACCACTGCCCAATTTATAGCACTTGCTATTTGGTCACTAATTGGCAAAAGCACCTCTCATGCTGAACAGATCAAGAAAATAATCCACAAGAAAATTACTCTTCACTGTGCCATCAACAGAGCTCTGCATATCCCTTATTCTTTGTGTTAATTACGATAATAGCTCAGAACCCCAATCCCAGATCTACTCCACAATACACAAGTCACTGCGCAAAGGATGAAAAATGTTTGCATCAAAACTCAAACATCTTGGTTCTTTCTTCTACCACATATGCACAAACATCAAAGTGGACTGTGGCTGGAGAGGGCAGGAGGATATAGCATATTTGAACATTAAGTAACAAATTCTCTACTGGGGCACATTCTTCTAGGCTGAAGATCTTTGAGACGGTCATTCCATTTATTTCTATGGATAGCATGTAACAAAATGGAGACTCCATCCAGACAAAGGGCTCTGGGAACCACTGAAATAAATATTAAAAGACCAACCCTTCATTACGCAGACTTCCATGCTCTGCTACCTTTAGAAGAGTATAGATTGTGAAAATTTGGTTCAGGCCAGATAGTGCTCTGACAAATGTAACTTCAGATCAGTTTCCCTTAATTAAATTAGCATATGGAAACAGCAAAACCTTACTGCTCATTACCTAAATGAGTCATTTCCTGTCCCCAAATGCACCTCTGTCCACTACAGGAAAGCAGTCACTTCTCTCAGATGCAAATTCAAGCAAAAAACTTGTAGAATGCTGCTGCTCCACGTTATGATGGCTTTGGCTTTCTCGTAGAAGTTTCTTTGGTTTTCCCCCTTTCCTACACAATAGTACATTACTGAGTAACTCCTCACTGTACTCTGGGTTCATGTTAATTTCATGGTTTCTATTCTTACTCTTTTTCTAAATGCACATGGACAAATACATCCGGAGGTACGTCTAGACTGCAGAGCTTTTCCGGGATACCTCTGGTATCCCGGAAAAGCTCTGCTGCGTCCAAGGAATGCCTCTGCTTTTCTGAAAAAAATAAAAATAAAAATAAATTTAAAAAAATCGGAAAAGCATACGCGCGTTTTCAGCATCCCTGTAAACTTCGTTCTATGAGGAAGGTGGGCTTGTTCCAAAAGAGGCCTTTTTCCTGACATTTGGCCCAGTATAGATGGACCAATTGTCAGAAGAGCCTCTTTCAAAAGAAAAGCAGAAAGAGATACGCAAGTTGCAGTTCGCAATTTGTGTATCTTTTTCCAATAGAACTTTATAGTCTAGACACAGCCTGAGACAAGCTCACTTGTCCATTACAAGGATAGAAATTCAAACTGCCTATATAGACCATGAAGCTTCTGGCTTCTGGACTGCTGTTGTACACTGCAGAGTCACGAGGTCAGTGTTGATACCAGAGAGGATTCCGTACATGTCAGCTGAACAATATGTCCTGGACAAGGAATCTCAAATAATTTAAGTATAAAAAGAAATACGACTGGCCCAACTCTACCCTAACAGTAAAAGGAATATCCCTTAATGGCAGAGTTACCTATTGTGTGCCTACCTGGATTTCAGAGAGTTAGAAAACCAGAGATAGTATGTACAAAAACTTCATTCTGAATATTAAACCGCATCTCCTCAAAGGAACAAAGCTTCAGTTACCTCCCTATTTTTGCCATTCAGCTCTAGAAACTCCTCACTAGCTTATATTAAAAGTTGTTTCTCCCCCTCCCCCCAAAAAAGCTACACGATCCTTAAAAACCTTTATTGTGAAGTAGTTACTGGTCACCATACACATAACATTCCTGGTTCAAAAATACCACAACCGTACCCCAGTTCTTGTGACGCTAATGGTGGGAGGTGAATGTCGTTTTATTCTGTGATTACTCTGTGATGAGGCACTTTCAGAAAATCTGAATTCTGTGTCAGATTCCAACTGGCTATGCAGAGCAGCACACACTGTATTACCCCATCCAGACATTCACTGGCAATCTCTGCCCGTACAGCCACAGCCCCATGTACTGCACATGGAGTACTGCTGAAGGCTTTTTATTATAGAAAAAGAATAGTCAAACAGAAACAGGCAGTGATTTGTCTTCACTGTGATGTCAGCAAAGCACTTAATCTTAAGCATGAGCCAAAAGCTGATGTTTCCCTAGATAAGGGCTTAGGATATAGTCAAGAAGAATTTAGGCTCTACTTGACAAGTCAAACTCCTCATTGTCCATCCTCCCCCCCAAAAAAACCCACCACTACACACCCAATGGATATTGTCCTAGGTTCACAGGCGCTTCATGCTAGTGTGATGGACCCCGCCCATGCTTTATGAAATGGACTTATGTGAATTGGTGTCCATAATTCAAAAGTGCTTTGGACAAACTGCTTCATGTAACCTATCAATCTTCATGTCATAATCTGCTAGATTTGTTTATCTTATTGTGGAGTCTGTATAATTCTTCTGTGTAAAATTAGACATATGGAGTGCTTGATGGTTTTAAATGTGTGAATGAAAGCCACCATGGGCTACCCTCAATGTCTTGATGACCAACTGTTAATCACTTTTGTCCTTTAAGTCTTAGCAGTGGTTGATCTAGGGAAGTCACATGCCTACCCCAACTGGCCAGATGACTTCCCATGCAAAAAGGGAATCTTTAAAAACAATAGGAAAGTAGGAATGCTTGGTCTTTGGTCAGCACACCCGGGAGAGTGAACCAGAGCCCCCAGAGAAGGGGAGATTTCCCTGGTTGGAAGGCTAAGCTAGGAAAGGAACAGTTTTAGGGTAAATTTGAAATAAGTTCCTACTGAGGATTTAGTGTTAGAATTACCAAAGTGTTTGTTTGGTTTTTTGTTTGTTTGTAACCTACTTTGCTCTGCCTGTTCTCATCTATTACCACTTAAATCCTACTGCTTGTACTTTATAAAATCATTTTTACTTACTATCAAGCCCAGAGTAAATTATTGTTACATGGAGTGTGGGGGTGGGGAGGGCAAGCCAGTGTGCACATTCCCCCTTTCATAGTTAAAGCTGGCTTACCTAAGTCTTTGGGGTTTCGATCCCATTTGGGGAGTGGTATCCCAGGAAGCTGGGCCCTAAACTGCACTTTCCTTGGATCTGAAGAGATTCAGTGTCTGCACTGCTTCTCAGGGGGATAGCGGTGTCATCTTGGTGCATTGGAGGAGGCCAGCGGAGCTTGCCCAGTAGGAGCAAGCAGTGAGAAGCACCAGAGAGTGATTGGGTGAGTGTCAGTGGCCACATCAGCCCTCCAGGAGGCACCCCCCCCCAAGGGGTCTTCTGTGGCCGCACCCCATCACAGCTAGACGTATTGCTGAAACACACTATGCTCACTTTTGTCTCACATGGGCAACAGTCAAGTTCACTGACCTCTCTGAAATCTGTCATGTGGAACTGACATACCTACACCCAACGGAACTATTCTCAGCTCCTTCTTAAGCGAGTCACTTCCTCTCCACAAAGGCACTTGATCTTCCTTCGGAGATCCTAAATTACAGCTTTCTATTTCTGATGTGCAGGCTCAACTGAATTCAGTAAGAATGTTACTGCTGCAGGTTCTTATTGTGGCTTCAGTCTGGTCATGTAAGTCAAGGGTTTTCACTCTGGTTTTTACTAAATGTGTCAGTTACTGAGCAACAACCAAAGAGGCTCCAGATTCATGCTTATCATATTTTTTTCCTTCCTTTCATTGTAGATGGAGCTGCACAAGTACAACTGACACAAACTCAGATATCCATCACAAAGATACCAAAGAAAACCGTAAGAATGGACTGTAAAATTTCTGGTATTGACGTTGGCAGTGCCTATATACACTGGTACCGACAGAGACCTGGAGAAGCTCCAGAGTGGCTGTTGTATTATAAGACACAAAACGATCAATCCAATTTTGACAAGGACAAGTTTAGCATTGACAAGACATCTGGAAAACCCATCTGTACCCTAACAGTAGACAAACTAACCTACAATGACACTGCTACTTATTACTGTGCCACCTGGGATCACAGTGTTAGAAAGCCATACACAGTTTGTACAAAAACTTCTCTATTCTGAGCCACAGACTTTCAAAAATATACCCAAAATACCCCCCCCCCCCACAAACTACAGCTGACTTCAGCTCAGAGGCAAGAATAAGGAGTAAAAACTGAATTTATCTGTGCTAGATAGAAGACCATCGCACACAAGTGTTTTTTAAATGTGGCAGGTGTAGATTTGAAAGGGTGTAACAAAAGCACACCTTACTTAGATACAGCATAGATACAGTGTAGCATGTCATTTTATCTGCAGAATGTAGTCACTTTCAAGTCAGATATCTAGTTCCCCCTTTACGTCTGATTCACCATCTTTGGAGAATGATTGCAATCAAGTCCCTCCTGGAATGGTCTTCTGTATGCTTGCGACCATTTCTCGGGGCCTGATTCAGAAGTTGGGACTCGCAGACCAGGGTCCTGCTACTAGTTTTGCTGAAGATCCCCTATTGAAAGGGAAATCAAGTTTTCTAGGCCTGTAAGACTGACCCATTCATCAAGCAATGACATTTTGTTCCCTGCTGACTGAACAGCAAATCAATGAATGGAGAGGGATAATGAGCAACGGAGGTAACCATAGATCATGCTGGATCTAGGAAAGCTGCCCGCTCCCCCTTCTCCTGCAGCTTGAAGTGGGTTTCCCTATATACATGGTTCACAGCTTGGTTCAATGCCTATTAGCACCCGCTCTATGAAAATAATTCCAGACAACCTTAGTTTACTCTGCCCAGGCATATCACTCACTGGATTGATTTACTTCTCTATGAAAAATTCTTAAGCATCACCAGCCACAGGTGGGAAATAATTCAGACAATCCTTCTGAAGTGGGATGCAATGGAATAGCCTCCATCTTCCAATTCTCTGCCATGCACATATGATGCCATTGTCAGCAAAGGACTTTTCATGTTGTACAACCACTGCAATTTCTATTGCAGTCTTCCTGCCATAGCACTGCCAGACTAGTGTGATGGCTATAAAGGGAACAGAATATCTGGAAATAAGTACTCAAGCTTCTTAAGCTTGTAGTCCCAAACACGATTCCCACCTTAGCAATGCAAATGCTGCTGGAATAAAGTTAAAAAAAATTCAATCGTTGCACATTTAGATTTTTTTGACCTGTTTGGAATGCTTTGGATCACATGTGGTGAGGAAGTTGGAGGAAGGGGAGCCAGAGAAATGGCCTGGCTTCCACCAACAAATGAAGTTAAGGCCACCCAATAGCACAAATATCCTCTGTAACCTCAGCTTTATTGGTCAGAACCTAGAAATCTCTCCCACTTAATTCTGCAATTCTACCCTCCCCCGAGATAACAATGGTGGCAGCAATGACCGCTTACCAACTGCATCCTCATGCTAGACTTCTTGCTGAAACTCACCATCCATCGCACACTTGTCTTAAATGCATATCAGTAAAGTTGACACACCTCTCAAATCTGTCACATGGAATTGACATACCTACAGAACTGTTCTCAGCTCCTACTTAAGTGACTCGTTTCCTCTCCACAAAGGCACTCTATCCCAGATGGAGGACTAACTTACATCTTCCTATTTCTGACATTCAGGCTCAGCTCAAGTCAGTGAGAATGTTACTGCTGCAGGTTCTTATTGTAGTTTCAGTTGGGTCATGTAAGTTCAGGGTTTTGATGTAGTTTTCTACAAATGTGCTGATTACTGTACAACAACCAGAGAGCCTCCAAATTCATGCTTATCATATTTTTCTTCCTTTCATTGCAGATGGAGCTGCGCAAGTACAACCAACGCAAACGCCATTATCCATCACAAAGCCACCAGACAGAACAGTAAGAATGGACTGTGAAGTTGAGATCAGTAACTTTGAGAATACATATATACATTGGTACCGACAAAGATTAGGAGAAGCTCCGGAGTGGCTGCTGTATTTTCAGTCACCAACTCAACAATCAAATTTTGACAAAGAGAAATTTGGCATTAGCAAGACAACTGGAAAACCGAAATGTACCCTAGCAGTACACAAAGTAAACTTCGACGACGCTGCTACCTATTACTGTGCCTACTGGGATCGCACAGTGTTAGAAAGCCATAGACAGTCTGTACAAAAACCTCACTGTATATCTGAGCCACATACTTCCACAAATACAACAAAAACCCTCAAAACCACACACACAAACGGCAGTTGCCATCTTATTCTTTCCACTCAGCTAATGCCAGGAATAGATAGTTTATCTGAGCCAGATAAAAGACGATCACATACAAATGTTTTTCAGTATGGCAAGTGTAGATTTGAAAGGCTGTAATAAGAAGCACAGTTGTATAGGCACAGTACAGCATGTCATCAACCACACCCTGCAGATACTTTTAAGTCAAATATTCAGTTCCTTCTTTACTTCAGATTCATCTTTAGAAAGACATCAATATCAAATCCCTACTGGAACAGTGTTCTTTATGCTTGCAACCATTTCTTGAGGCCTGATACAGGAGTTGAGACTTGCAGATCAGGGCCCTGTTACAGCATTGGTTCTGAACACTATTACAGGCAGGGATAGCCTTGAAAGCATTGCTGAAAAGCCTACTGAAAGGGAAATCAAGTTTTCCATTGACCAAGCGACAACATTTTGTCCCTTACAGACTAACCAGCAAATCAATGAATGGAGAGAGCTAATACAAAAACAGGGGTGGTCCTTGATTCTAGATCCTGGGGTGGTGCACACACCCACTTAGGCTATGTTTACACTTCCGGCTTCTGCTGGCAGAGAGTAAGCAAATGAACTTCTGATTAGTATTGTCATGCTTCATTTGCATAATTATTTGAGCCATTTTTTCCCACAAGGGGTTTTTGCGTAAAAACAAGCAGTATGGAGGTTTCCTTTTTGCACAAAAAGAGTTTTTTGTGCAAGATCCTTACGCCTCTCCAGGGTTTTTGTGCAACAAGGAAACATCCACGCTGCTTGTTTTTGTGCAAAAACCCCTTGCACAAAAATGGCTTAGATTATGCAAATGAGTAACAAAATGCTAATTAGTGTTTCATTTGCATACTCTGCCAGCAAAAGCCAGCAGTGTAAACATAGCCCAAAAGTGGGATCATCTATAAACAGGGTTCACAGTTTTGTTCAATGACTATCACCACCCCTGCTTTAAAAAAAATTGTTCCATTCCCCTGTACCATTTCATTCACAGTCTTGATTTTCTCATCTATGAACAATTCTTAAGCATTGCCAGCCAAGAACAAGAAATAATTCAGACAAACATACATTCTGAACTGCGATGCAGAAACTTGCTCACAATGGATCTGCCTCCATCTTCCAACCCCCTGCTATGCATATATGATGCCATTGTCAGCAAAGGCCTTTTCCATGAAGCAAAGGCACAAGTATTACTAGTGTGTGCTAATAGATGCTAATCAGCATTAGTATTACTAGCACAACAGTGGTGATGCCTATAAAGACAGCAGAATATCTTGAAATATGTACTTAAAAGTAATACGCATTGATAGACCTAACCTCCATGAATTTATCTAGTTTTTTATCATCTATGTCAGGGGTGTCCAAACTTTTTTCAAAGAGGGCCAGATTTGATGAAGTGAACATGCGTGAGGGCCGACCATTTTGCCTGACATTCTTTGAACCATTAAAATTAAATGCAAATTAACTATTTTATGCAAAGTTTATTGCAAACGGCATACTTTTCATTTCGTCACATGGATGACAAATCTAAACAGGTGTTAAATCACTCTGCCTTTCATATCTGAAGGCCAGATGAAAAAAAAATCCAGGAAGCTGAAATATATGTCAGGAACATTGTAAAGTACATTACATATTATTGGTAATAAAGGTTGTCTGTCAACTTTTAAGTTCAAAAAATATGAACAGGAACATAACACCAAGTATACATGTTGTGTCCAAATATATTTATAACTGATTTAGACCAACTGACATTAACTGAGATTTTACAATGTATTCATCTCAATACATATGGATTCGTTGGGGGCCATAAAAGATAGATATTGCCAAATTACCTGTGGGGCCGTATTAAACCGGAACATGGGCCGCAATTGGCCCCCGGGCCGGACTTTGGACATGCCTGGTCTACACTTATAGTCCCAGATCTGATTCACCACCCCCCTACATCCCTTTCTCAATGCAAGTGTTGCTAGAGTAAAGTCAATAGTTGCACATTTATATATTTTTTCCTGTTGGGAATGTCTTGGATCACACATTGGTGTGTGGGGATGTTGGAGAAAAGGGAGCCAAGGAAATGGCCTGGTTTCCACCTGAAACTGAAGCTAAGGCCACCCCATAGCACATAAATAGCCACTGTAACAATAACGTTATTGGTTATAACCCAGGTATCTCTCCTATTCATGCTGCAATTTCCTCCCACAATAACAAAGGTGGCAGCACTGACCACTTACCAACTGCAGCTTCAGCTACACTGGTGTTTCCATCTATTTCTATGTATAGCACCTAACAGAATGGGGACAACCTACAGACCAAGGCCTTTGGAAATCACTGTAATAAAAATAACTAAAAAACCCTATCCTTCATTATGGAGACATCTATGCTCCACTATCTTTAGACCAGTATAGATTATTTGGCATGAAGCAAATTCTCACAATGTGCTCTGATATGGGTCACTTCAGAGGAGTTTCAGCCTTAAAACGCTTCACCTTCATCGTACATTAGCATATAGAGCCAACAAAGCCTCATTTCATATTTGCTAAATGAGTCACTTCCTGCCCCCAAATGCACCTCTCCATCCAACCCAGCAAAGCAGTTACTTCTCATAGATGTAGGTGCAAGGAAACTGATAAAACGTTGCTGTTCCATGCTATGCCAGCTTTTGTTTTGTTGTACCATACTTTAGAAAAAGGCAAAAAAAGAAACTCGCACATTACTGAGTAACAACTCACAGAGGTCTGGATTCATGTTAATTTCATGATTTCTAGTATTACAAGCTCAGCTGTCCATCTAGAGAGAGGGTCTCTGGTGTATTTGTGCACATCCTTTACCAGGACAGTACCCATACAGAGTGTGAGGCTCCTGGCATTTT